GGGGGGGGGTCATTTTTCGCCTGGGCCTCCTCACGCGCACACACACACAGACAAACACACACTCAGCCCCCCCGCGCGCAGCGACAGGGCGTCCAAAGTCGGAGAAGAGAACGAGCGAGCGCGCGGCTAGCCGCCGATCCCTCAAGCCGAATGAACAAAGCCGCGGCCAACCACAGGTCGTCCGCGCATGATGACCGGGGGGCAGGCGAGGTACGCAGTGCCAGCTGGCGGGGCAACGGCATGCCCCGATCCCGGGGAGGAGGAGGAGGAGGAGGAGGAGGAGGAGGAGGAGGAGGAGGAGGAGGAGGAGGAGGAGATGGCTCAGTTGAAATTGCAGCGACGCCAAGACCAGACGACTGGCAGAAGGGCAGCACAAAGGCGCAAGGGGCCGAATGCCAGCAGCGGCGGCGAGGGCACCGTAGAGGCGACACAGCAGATGTCGCAGCGCCAGCAGGCCCGCAGGGTCGCCAGAAAGTCGACCAAACACACGCACACACACCATACTCTTGGGACATGGGCACACACACACACACACGCCCACACCACACCACACACGTAACATAACACAACACATCTCAACACAGCACGACACGACATTTTGCGACGCGACGCAACGCAACGCAACGCAACGTACACACACAACGCACAACCACAAAACGCATCACACACAACAGGCAACATATACAACACACACACAGCACAGACACACACACACGCACACACAGACACAGCGACTGACAGACACGTAAACTCACAGACACGCAGACAAACACACCCACACACAACACACACACACAAACACACACACACATGCGCAGATACACACAAAACCCGAACACACACCACACACACACACGCAACACACACACACAAACACGCACAATTCACGCGCACTCACGCGCACTCACGCACACTCACGCACACACGCACACAGACACACGCAAACATACAAACACACACGTACACATAAAGAAGACACAACACACATCACGCAACACACGCACACACACACACACACGCACAGACAAACACACACTCGGCCCCGCGCGCAGCCACATTGCGCCCAAACTCGGGGAAGATAACGCGCGAGCGGGTGGCTAGCGACCGAGCCTTTAAACCGAACGAACAACGCCGCGGCCATCAATAGGTCATCCGTGCATGGATGAATGGGGGGACAGACGAGTTAGGCAGTGCCAACTGGCGAGGCAAAAGCATGCCCCGAATCCGACAGGTGGTGCGCAGTTGAAGCTACAGCGATGCCATGGCCAGACGACTGGCAGAAGGCCAGGACAAAGCGAAAGGGGCCGAAGGCCAACAGTGGCGGCGAGGGCACCGAAAAAGGCTGCACAACCGATGCACCAACGCCAGCAGGCACGTAGGGTCGTCATACATTCGGCCGAACACACACACACACCACACACACTTGGAACATAGACGCACACACACACTCACCATACACAACACAACACACAAAACAACCCAACAGAACACAACACAGCACAGCACAACACTACACTGCACAGCACAGCCAAACACAACGCAGCGCAACACAACGCACAAGAGCACAACACATCACACAAGCTAAACGACACACACACAACACACGGACACAGACACACGCAGACACACACACGCACAGACAAACAGACACGCAAACACCCAGACACACACACACACACAGACACACAGACACACGGACACGCAGACACACAGACACACAGACACACAGACAAACAGACACACAGACACACAGATACACAGGCACACAGGCACACAGGCACACACACACACACACACTCACGCGCACACATACGCACGCGCGCGCACGCACGCACGCACACGTGCGCACCCGCAGACCCGCAGACCCACATACCACCCCACACGAACACACGCACACACAGACACGCACACACACACACACACACATACGCACAGGCACAGGCACACGCTATTTCTCGTCAGCGACGAGGCGGCGAACCCTGCACCAACGAGAAGCTAGATAAGGGCACTTACTAGCGAACTGGCCGGCGAGCAAAGAGGGAATGGGGGACGGCCGAGAGGCCGAAAGGAAAAAGGGAGGCTCAGACGCCGAAGAATTCGACGATGAGCAGCCGGGGGGACGCGCACACGCACACGCACACGCACACGCACTTTTTACGTCGGCGGCTGGGCAAAGGTTACTGATCCGGCGATCGGGCATCAGTGGGCGCGCTAGATGCAAATTGGGCCGTGATGCACGGTGGAAGAGGAGAGGGCGCCCGGCGCCAGCGGAAAGAGAGGAAGCCAGGCCCGCTCAGGCAAGTCCCAGCAGCGGCGGGGCGGGCGCTGGGGGGCAAGCCAGCCGCGACGCCAGGCAGCAGCTGGGGGGGAAGGCATCCCGAAGGCGGCCGGGCAAAGCCCAGGGGGGAAGCAAGACCAAGGATTGGGCAAGTGCAGAGCATTTAAACCGCCGGTACGTCATTAGCCCGCGAAGGTAACACCAGATGAGGGCTGACCGTGAATAGCAGCAAACGGCTGCACGGAGAAATTGACCTGCCACGTGTCTGCAGCGGAGTAGATCACACCACAGTGGGGGAGCAGAGCGGAGTTGGCAGAGACCCAGCGGCTGGGGTAGGTGAGCGCCGAGATCTGGTGACCTGCGAGGCGCGGTGGAAGGGGGGGGGGGGGCAGGCGGAGCACCGATGCGAGCGCGGCCAACCTGAACGGCCGGCGCGTGGGCGAAAGGCACGCGGCTGGGAACTGAGGAGTCCACGCCAACATGGGGGAGCCGGCGCGTGGGCGCAAGGCACGCGGCTGGGAACTGAGGAGTCCACGCCAACATGGGGGAGCGGCGTGGAGCTGGAGAAAGGGCCCAGCGAGCGAGGCGGGTAGGCGCCGAGATCTGGTGACCTTCGGGGCGCGGGGAGGGGGAGGGGGGGGGCGGGCAGTGCACTGCTGCGCCACGGCTGCGTTGCAGCAGTCACGGCCAGCTGGGCGGCCGGTGCGTGGGCGAAAGGCCGACTGGAAGACCACGGGGGGCGAGACCGTCCCCGCGAGAAGCTGCCGAGGTCGGCCGGCCTGGCCGGAGGCGTGGCAGAGCGGTGGAGGGTGCCACAGGCGGCGCCTGAACCAAACCTGCAAAAGGCCGGCGAGCCCCCAGCCAAGGCGGGGGCTTGCAGCGGCGGGGCAGGCAGGACGCCCTCCGGCAGGGGAAAAAGCGACCCGGGGGTCAGTAATCGGCTATCGGCTGCACGCAAGAGTGACCCTGGGCAAGAGTGACCTTTGGTGCGCGTCTTTTGGGGGGCCGCGGGGTGGCCAACCCTGGGCGCGCAAGCCGCTGCTGCCGCTTCGCGCTCGGCGATCGGGGGACCCAATTGGGCCCGCACCAAAGGCCACTCCAGCGAAAGGTCACTCTTACGTCCAATCGACGTAAAACGGCGGATGCCCACGGCGGGCGGCAAGACCGGCCCCCGTCCGCGGCACGCGCAGCGGTCGACTCCTGGAAGGAGGGCGGGGCGCGGGAGGCGGCGCAGCCGAGAGGTGCAACCGCTGGGCCTGGGCCGCAGCAGGCCGGGCGGCGAGCGCACGAGCGCAGCCCCGGGCGGCAGCCGAAGGCACGGGGGGGGGGGGGGGCACCGAAGAGGTGCAGCGGTTCGGAAAAAGGAGGGGGGGCGAGCCAGGGCCAGGGGCCGCGGGCCGGGAGCGCAGAGCGGGGGGGGGGGGGCCGTGGCCAGCCGGCCGCGACCGGCCCCGCGGGAGGGGAGAGCGGTGGCAGTAGCCAGCGGGCCAAAAGGGGCAGGCGGGCCCCGTGCGGGCCGGCAGGCCAGGCCACGGGGCGGCGCCGGGGAGCAGCGCGGGGAACTCAGGACAGGTCAATGCGGGCGCGCCTGCCATGTCGAGGAAACTGCCAGTGCTGACTGCGCGCCCTGGACCACCATTGGCGAGTGGGGCCGTTGGTGGGCCAAGAGGAGTCGGCAGGACGCTTGCCCTTCCCCTGTGGCGGGGGACGCTTTCGTTTGCCCGTGGCTGCCTCCGCGCTTTGCCTCCTCTTTTCCACTTCACGCTCCCACTCGGCGTCCCAGTCGACGTGGATACCCTTATACCAGCAGAGCTACGGACATCGTCGAAGTTGGCCTGGCTGAGGTCGAAACAAAGCCTTCACAGAAATCGGGGGTGTGTCGGCTGGGATCCTTGGACAAGTGCTGCCCCAGCTTGTGCTTGCAACGGCGTTCCAGCCAATCGTCACGCACACACACACACACACACACACACACACACACACACACACACACACACACACACACACACACACACACACACACACACACACACACACACTTCGGCTGCACGTACAAGTCACCCTGGGCAGGAGTGACCTCTGGGTGTGCGACTTCCGGGGGCCCCGGGGAGGCCGAACTGGAGCCCGCAGGCCATGCAGCCATCTGGGGGCCCCACTGTGCCCGCACCACAGGTCACCTCGGCGAAAGGTCATTCGCACGTACAGCCGAACACGGACCCGGGTTAGCGCTAACCCGGGTCAGCCAATGCCCCGTCGCCAAACTGGGTCGGCCAGAGGAACTCGGAGGGGATTGGCTGACCCCCCAGTCAGCGCCCTCCTTATCGTGTGGTTTTCGGGTCATACCTCGGGTCTCTGGCAGCCCTTCGGGGCGATCTGGGCACTCGCGGAACGCCCTCGGCGAGGCGCAGCTGCTGGAGAGGGCGAGCATCCCGAGGCTGGGAAACCGCTGGGAATCTGCGAAACGCTTGAAAACCTCAAACCTTTAGAGGAAAAAGAACTATGCACATGCACCGATTCTGGCCAGGCCCATCCTGAGCCCAGGATCGGTGCATACGCCCTCCTACCTTGGCCAGGAAGGCATATGCACCGATCCTGGGTCAAAAATGGGCCTTGCCAGGACCGGTGCATGTGCATAGTTCTCTTCGCCCGAACCTTGGATCTCGACTCATGGGTCTGTCCGCGCGCAGGTCGCTGGCCCGCGGCCGCGGACAAAGCTGGCCGCCTTCCACGCGGCCGGGAGGAACAGCTGATCCGCCCGCCGCGCCCCTGGTTGGGGCGCGGCCTCGCGGGGCGTGGGCGTCGGAGCTGTGCGAGCGCGCGCGCGCGCGCGTCGGCCGTCGCTGCGGGGGGCACGGTGCCGCACAAGGCAGACATAATTTTGTTTGTTGCTACCTTTCTCTGTTTAAACTTTTCCCGCGCAAGGCAGGCAGTGGGGGGGCTGCGGTCGGGAACTTTTTTGCTCAGCGTGTCGCGGCGGCGGCCCCAGCGGCACGCTGTGCCTTGCGAGCGCAACAGCGCGTCGCTCCGTTCCGCTCCGCTGGGCGGGAGGCCCTGTAAAAGCTCGCCGCCTGATGGCCGGGACGAGGACGGCGTGTCGCGCCGAGGCGCGGTGGGTCAGAAGTCAGAACTGGCGGAGCGACACGCCAAGCCAAAATTCTCGACCGTCTGAAGAAATTCCCGGAGGCCTCGCGCGGCAACGTGAGGCCCAACTCACATCGGATCCACGTCGGATTTACGTCGGATTCACGTCGGATCCACGTCGGCCTCACGTCGCCTCACGCCGGATTCACGTCGGGCTTCCGTCGGATCACCGCCGCGCGACTGTCGACCCGTCTCTTACGGGGCAGACGTGTGGACTAGATCACATCACTGTTGCGCGCCGCACGGGGCCTCCGAGATGCTCCTCGCAGTGGTGGACGGGGGCGCGGAGAAGGATGCTCGGACGGGGAGAGGGACTTTTCCAAACGAAGCCAGGACCAGGACACAGCTGGGCCCAGACAACTTGGGGCTCTCTGAGGGCCGGCGGCTCTGGAAAATGTATCGGGCGCCGCGGCCGTTCCGACGAGCTCTGGAACGCTCCGAACACATTCCGGACCGTTCTGGAACGATTTATCCCGGTCCTGGCCTTAGGTCAGGCCTGTCCCCCTACAGAGGGATTTTGGGCGAAAAATCCGCCGCCCCCTGTCGATTCATCGCAGGGGTGCCTGGCGTGCTAGATCCTTTCGGTTTTGGTTTTGGTTCTTGTTCCAAGAGAACTCCCCCACTGGGGCTTCGGCCCGTCCCGCCGGGATCCCGGAAAGAACCTCAATCCCCAATTTTTCCTCCAAGATGGCTCAAGATGGCCTCCAAGATGCCTCCAAGACGGCCGCGATGGCCTCCAAGACGGCTGAGATAGCACCAAAATGCCTCCAAGACGGCCCAAAATGCACCCATGACGGCCTAAGATAGCCTCAAGATGGCCCAAGACGGCCTAAGAGCCCCCTAAGAAGTCTCCAAGACAGCTCGAGAGGCCTCCTAGAGGCCCTCCAGGAAGGAGCGAAGAGGCCAAAATCATTGATTTTCTTACGGCCTTTGAAGGATTTTGGCCTTTTCGCCTTTTCGGCCTTCCGACGGCCCAAGAGGCCCCCAAGATCGCCCAAGAAATCTCCAAGATGGCCCCATGACGGCCCAAGAGGCCCTCAAGATGCCCCCAAGAGGGCCCCAAGAAAGCCCAAGAGGCCTCCAAGACGGCCAACATGGCCTCCAAGACGGCTAAGGTGGCCCCAAGATGCCTCCAACACGGCCTCAGATGCACCCAAGACGGCCTGAGATGGCCTCCAGATGGCCTAAGACGGCCCAAGAGGCCCCCAAGAGGCCTCAAAGACAGCCCAAGAGGCCTCCAAGAGGTCCTCCAGGAAGGCCCGAAGAGGCCAAAATCATCAATGTTCCTACTGCTTGTTTGACAGATTTTGGCATTTGCTTCTTTTCGGCATTCGGACGGCTCCAGACGGCCCAAGAGGCCCCCAAGATCGCCCACGAGGCCTCCAAGATGGCCCCATGACGGCCTAAGAGGCCCCCAAGATGCCCCCAAGAGGACCCAAGAGGCCTCCAAGACTGCCAACATGGCCTCCAAGACGGCTAAGGTGGCCCCAAAATACCTCCAAGACGGCCCACGATGCACGCAAGACGGCCTAAGATGGCCTCAAGATGGCCCAAGACGGCCCAAGAGGCCCCCAAGAGGCCTCCAAGACAGCCCAAGAGGCCTCCAGGAGGTCTTCCAGGAGGGCGCGAAGAGGCCAAAATCATTAATGTTCCTCGGTTTTTGACAGATTTTGGAATTTGCTTCTTCTCGGCATTCCGACGGCTCAAGACGGCGCAAGAGTCCCCCGAGATCGCCCAAGAGGCCCCATGACGGCCCAAAAGGCTCCCAAGACGGCCCCCAAAGAGCCCCCTAAACGGCCCAAGAGGCCTCCAAGACGCCCAAGATGGCCTCTAAGAACCCCTGGTATGCCCCAAGAGGGCCCCAAGACGACCCAGGCAGGCCCCCAAGACGGCTTCCGACGGCGTCTGACAAGCCAGGACCTAAGATTGCCAAAGAGGCCCCCAAGAAGCCCCTAAAGGCCCCCCACAATCCTCCAAGAGGCCCCCAGGAAGCTCCCAGGAGGCCCTAAGAGTGCGCCAAGGGGCGCCCAAGAGGCCTCCTCCTCCTCCTCCTCCTCCTCCTCCTCCCCCTCCCCCTCCTCCTCCTCCTCTTTTTTCCTTATCTTCCCCCTCCTCCTCTTCTTGCTCCCCCATGCGTCGTTCCCCGAAGTCTTTCCAAACCGACTCGGGGAACAACTGGCCCAATAGCTTGGCCAAGCTCTGGCCCAGCTGTCGGCCACAGAAGCGCTTCCAAAGGGGCAGGGGGCAGCGGTGATTCGCCGTAGGCGTCTTCGAATACAAATTTTGAAAAAGAATCCAATTATGCTCAAAAATAATAGAAACATCGTCCCCAGACCATTTTTGGACTATTTTTGCATTTTCCTCCTGTAGAGGGACATGCCCGACTTAATCCTAGCCGCGCCAGGAAAGCTGAAGGGGAGCGGGCGGGAAAGAGCGGACCGGGGCGGGGAAGGGGACTGGACGGGGGGGGGGTCGGAGGGGCAGGGTCGGACGGGGAGGGGGAAGGGAAGTGGAAAGAGGACCGGACGGGAAGGGGAAGAGGATCGGACTGGAATCCCTGAGATCCGATGTCGTGATTTTTTCAATACGGGGTCCCCAGAACTCTCGACCCTTTCCCCAGGACCGGTTTTTCATCCTGAATCGGCTTTTGATGGTCCCGAGGCCCGGCGAGGGCCCCTGGGGGCCGAACTTTGGGAATGACCTCCGTCTTGATTTTTTCAATGCGTTGGACCTCTGGGATCCCAGACCCCTGGCCTCATGATTTTTTCATCGCGTGGACGCATTCCCCGGGACCGGTTGTTCGTCGTGAGGCCGTCCGCGTGGGCGCTCCCGAGGCCCGGCGCGGGGCCCGCGTGGCCGGAAACGGCGAACATCCTTCCGTCACGATCGTTGCACGACCCGGGGGGGGGTCTGAGGCCCGAGACCCCCTCGGGCAATGAAGGAGTCCTGACGGGAGGTTTTCCGCTACACCATGCGAAATGCTTAAGAAATCATGGGTTAAGAAATTCATAGTCTCAGAAATTGAATAAAACCCAGAACTTCTATCAAAATCTTGGGATTTACATTGAAAAGTTAAGAATAATCGAGATTCTGGACGAAAACTTAGGTTTTCTTCAGCATCGCCTAAGGTGTATCTTCGACCTCCGGGGGCCCTGGCCGGCCCTCGGGACCGTCAACAAAACGGGTCAGGATGAAAAACCGGTCCAGGGGAAGGGGTCGAGACCTCCACGGGTCGACGTAATGAAAAAATCGTGACGTCGGGGGCCTGGGATGGGAGATGGAAGGGAGCTGCGCTCATCAGAATCCCACCAACTCTGTGGGCGGAGACCGTCTAGATCGTTTCCCCCTCCGGCCTTCTCATGATCCCTCTCCCTGCCCTGTCCCCAGGGCCTGGCCGCACCCCCAAGATGGCTCAACATACCTCAACATCGCTCAAGATAGCCTCTGGCCAGCTTCCAAGTCGCCCACAAAACAGCCCCATGAGGGTTCCAAGTGCCCTTCGAGCCTCCTGTAGGGTGCAGAACCCTTCAAACATCTGAAGGAAAATCACGGTTTTGGGGCGTTTCCCTTTTTCGTTTCCGATGAGCCTCTTGGGCCTGAAGATGGCCCTAAAAAGGCCCAAGACGGCCCCAAGAGTCCCCCCAAGAGGCCGTCTTGGAGCCTCCGAGGGGGGAGGAGAATTTCTGATCCCCCTTCTGTGATCGATCTCCTCCAAGATGGCCCCAAGAGAGCCAAGAGTGAGGCCCAGCATCGCCAGGGCGGCGCCCAGCATCACCAGGGAGGTCCTCAAGAGGCCCCCCACGAGAGAGCAAAGAGGCTCTAAGAGGCTCCTCCGAGGCACCAAACACGCTCCAAGAAGCCCCAAGGACCACCAAGACATTTCTTCCTCCTCTCCTCCTCCTCCTCCTCCTCCTCCTCCTCTTCCTCCTCCTCCTCCCCCGCCCCCTCCTCTTCCTCCTCTTCCTGCTTTTCCTCCTCTCTCAGAGAGAGCAATCTGGCCTGATGTTTGTTTCCAGCCCTCCTGTGTTGGGTTCGCGTTTTGAATAGAGCAGTGTGGTCGCCCCGTCCTTCCTCCTTCCTCCTCCCCTCTCCTCCCCTCCTCCTTCTCTCCTGTTTCCTGTCCTCCACAACTATAGCTCGCGGTGCCCTGGGGGGCTGCGATCTGCGAAACTGTCGTCGCCACGTTCGTGGGCTCCTGGGAGGCCCAGCGGAGGTACGTCATACGCGGACCACCACTACAGCTCGCGGTGCCCTGGGGGGCTTGCGATCTGCGAAACTGTCGCCACTTTCGTGGGTTCCTGGGAGGCCCAGCGGAGGTACGTCATACGCAAACCACCACTATAGCTCGCGGTGCCCTGGGGGGCTGCGATCTGCGAAACTGTCGGCACTTTCGTGGGCTCCTGGGAGGCCCAGCGGAGGCGCGTCATACGCGGACCACCACTATAGCTCGCGGTGCCCTGTGGGGCTGCGATCTGCGAAATTGTCGGCACTTTCGGGGGCTCCTGGGAGGCCCAGCGGAGGTGCGTCATACGCGGACCACCACTACAGCTCGCGGTGCCCTTGGGGACTGCGATCTGCGAAACTGTCGCCACTTTCGTGGGCTCCTGTGAGGCCCAGCGGAGGTACGTCATACACGGACCACCACTAAGCTCGCGGTGCCCTGGGGGGGTGCGATCTGCGAAACTGTCCGCACTTTCGTGGGCTCCTGGGAGGCCCAGCGGAGGTGCGACATACACGGACCACCACTATAGCTCGCGGTGCCCTGGGGGGGGGCTGCGATCTGCGAAACTGTCGCCACTTTCGTGGGCTCCTGGGAGGCCCAGCGGAGGTACGTCATACGCGGACCGCCACTATAGCTCGCGGTGCCCTCATTCGGGGCGATCTGGCATGACTGGTTTTCAAAAGGAATTCGGAACAACACTGGCAACATTGTGGTGCAAAAGCCCCTCTCCGATGACGGAACCGTGGCACGTCATTGTTTCGAAGAAGACCCACAAAATACCTCCACAAAGCCAACACGGCGCCAAACCGACCCGTGAGATCTACCTTTTGACGGCTCATGCAACACACGTTCCCGCTCTCTCCGCACCGCCGAAAAAGGCATCCAAGGCGGCTGTCGCAATGTATGCTTATACGCTGCCCTCATCGAGTCAACTCACCTGGCAATCGTGTCTGGATGGGCTGGTGGAGATACTTTTTGGTACGCGGGCGCGCGAAGCGAGTCGAACGCCGTGCAAGCAGGGGCAGGCTGGGCCACAAGCTAAGAACGAAATACCCTGCGACGTACCAACCCTTTCTATACATGTGGCGATTCTACTCCGGACCTCTCAGTGCTGACTGACCGCTCAGTACCTCCGCTGGGCCTCCGAGGAGCCCACGAAAGTGGCGAACGTTGCGCAGATCACTGCCCCCAAGGGGGCGGCGAGGTCCCTAGGTGGTCCGCGTATGACGTACCTCCGCTGGGCATCCCAGGAGCCCACGAAAGTGGCGACAGTTTCGCAGATCGCAAGCCCCCCTATGGGCGGCGAGGTCCCGAGGTGGTCCGCGTATGACGTACCTCCGCTGGGCCTCCCAGGAGCCCACGAAAGTGCCGACGGTTTCGCAGATCGCAGCCCCCCAGGGCACCGCGAGCTATAGTGGTGGTCCGCGTATGACGTACCTCCGCTGGGCCTCCCAGGAGCCCACGAAAGTGCTGACGGTTTCGCAGATCGCAGCCCCCCAGGGCACCGCGAGCTATAGTGTTGGTCCGCGTATGACGTACCTCCGCTGGGCCTCCCAGGAACCCACGACAGTGCCGACAATTTCGCAGGTCGCAGCCCCCCCAAGGCACCGAGAGCTATAGTGGTGGTCCGCGTATGTCGTACCTCCGCTGGGCCTCACAGGAGCCCACGAAAGTGCGGACAGTTTCGCAGATCGCACCCCCCGAGGACACTGCGAGCTATAGTGGTGGTCTGCGTATGACGTACCTCCGCTGGGCCTCACAGGAGCCCACGAAAGTGGCGACAGTTTCGCAGATCGCAGCCCCCCAGGGCACCGCGAGCTATAGTGGTGGTCCGCATATGACGTACCTCCGCTGGGCCTCCCAGGAACCCACGAAAGTGCCGACAGTTTCGCATATCGCAGCCCCCCAGGGCACCGCGAGCTATACTGGTGATCCGCGTATGACGTACCTCCGCTGGGCCTCCCAGGAGCCAACGAAAGTGCCAACAGTTTCGCAGATCGCAGCCCCCCAGGGCACAGCGAGCTGTAGTGGTGATCCGCGTGGGACGTACCTCCGCTGGGCCTCCCAGGAGCCAACGAAAGCGCCGACAGTTGCGCAGATCGCTCACGGCACGAGAGAAGATGAGAAGGGAACATAGGAGACAGGAGAGAAGGAGAAGAGGAGGAGGAGAGGATGAGGAGGAGGTGGAGACAACACTGCTCCATTCAAAACGAGTACCCAACACAGGAGGGTTGGGGAACCTACCGGTGAGCAGCGCCAAGCACAGAGCGGGACGGAGCTGGTGGGGATACGTGAAACGTGAAGAATTGGGGGGACAGGCAGAACTGATGCGAACTCCATCTCCCCACCCCGAACCCTTTCTCGGCTACAAGCTGGCATATGCCGTGTTGCAGTCGGACCTAGGCCAGAAGATCATCCCTCAAGAACATGAGACCATCCGTCGGCCAAACAAACAGAACATCCAGGATACACGATACCATCCAACAGGCACGAATAACACGAGGGTGCCCTCCCCGAGCCGACCTCGATCTTCTACCTCGGTCTGGCTGTATTGTTATCAGCATGCCGCAGCAACAAACCAAGATGTCTTGCACGGCCGCTGTCCTACGTTGGGTTCAGAATTTCATGCCCTTGCTGCCGCTGCCTCGTAGACATGTTGAGCCAACCTACGAAAGCCCCAACATCAACAAATGATTCCCGCCTAGCCTGGCGGGATGTCGAGCCAACGTTGATGCGGGGTCTGGGCCGCGTCGAGGCCCCAGGGCGAAGCCCCGACATCCGCCAAACGATGCCCACGCTGCCCTGGAGGGTACTTCTGGCCCCTGTTGAGGCCCACGCGGCGAAAGCCTCACTCTCCACCATCTCCGGTTCCTCCTCCGCTGCCCCGGGGAATGTCTGGCCCACGTTGAGGCCCACATGGCGAAGGTCTCACCCCCCCCCTCCTCCTCCTCCTCCTCCTCCTCCTCCCTCCTCCTCCTCCTCCTCCTCCTCCTCTTCCTCCTCCTCATCTCAGCATCAGCATCAGCATCAGCTCAGCAGCAGCATCAGCATCAGCATCAGCATCAGCATCAGCAGCAGCAGCAGCATCAGCATCAGCATCAGCATCAGCATCATCATCATCATCATCATCATCATCATCATCATCATCATCATCATCATCATCAGCAGCATCAGCATCAGCATCAGCATCAGCATCATCATCATCATCATCATCATCATCATCCCCCTACTCGACCATCCGCCACTTCTCCTGCTGCCGCTGATGCTGGCGCTGTTGAGATCGAGGCTGGCGAAAGTCTGGCACATACTCCATGCCGCTGAACGGGGGCATTCTCACCCGCTCGCCTGAGCTATGGGAGGACGCAGCGCGGAACGGCGTATGGCTCAAATGCCTGACGAGCAACGAGTGGGCCGCGAGACGTAAACATTATACGTTTCGTAATTGTCAGGTCCTGGGTGACGTGTAAAGTTGCAATAGTATCGATGACTTCTTGGGGTGCACCCCCCAGGACAGCATCAACCTGAAATTGTTCGAATCTCGAAGGTGGTAATCAAAGTACATACGCGCACCGCAATGAAACTTGTGGGAGTCAATCGATCGCCAGCATATGCGCCCGCAGATTCGCGACACATAAACAATACAGCACGCTGGCGAGTGATAACATACGGCCAAATATGCGATTGTCATTGGCGGTGACGCAATTCCCTCCCAGCCTCTCCTCCTCCTCCTCTCCTACCTGCTCCTCCCTCCCTCACCCCCCGCTCCTCCCCCCCTCCTCCCATCCCCTCCTTCCTCCTACCTTTTTCCCTCCCTCCTCCTCGTGCTCCCTCTTCCCCCCTCCGCTCCCTCCCCCCCTCCTCCCCCAGAGACCTCGGCGCGCCTGGTCAATGTATGATCGACGGACGCTGTACAAACGATGAATCAGAGCCATCTGACTGGCTCCTGACACCGACTGCAGCGATGAAAGGCACCTCGTCCCTCCCCTCCCCCCCTCGCTCTCCCCCCTCCCCTAGAAGAAGAAAAAACACATAATTATCCTGGCGAAGGACCCAACCATATGCAGTTGTGAGTATCGCAATTGTGAATATCTTCTTCGGTGGCGCTCCCTATGGGGCCACGAACCGCATGAGGGGTGTGCCGAAATGTGGCGGGGTACACAACGCAAAGGAATACGATATATCTGATTACGAGAGAAAGAACGCGGGTGAGTCTGAGCGCGAGGGAATCTGAGTATGAATGGGTCTGCGCGCGAGTGAATATATTTGCATGAATGCGATCATGGAACCGCCTAGTGTAAGTGTCGAGCATGCCTGTCCGAACACACGTGACACTGGGCGTGGCCGCCGCAGGCAGCTTCCGCGGGAACCCCGACGGCAGCGTCCGCACGTCGCGACGCCCATGTCGGCACGCCTCTTGCGAGGATCGCGCCCGCTTTCGGCTCTTCTTTTCCTTCCTCTTTGCCCGCGCACTCCAAAATCCAAGGCTGCGGGCGCAGCGCAGCGCGGAGTCCCCGCGACGCGCGCTGGTCGCCCCGGGCGGGGTCCCAGCGACGCGCGCGGGTCGTCCGCTGCGCGAAGCAGAGAGAGCTGACTAGCTAACTGGCTGGCTGATAGCGGGCAAGTCTCTGACCGCTGGGCAGAGCGACGACGGGCGAACGAGGCGCCGGGCCCCCCGCAGCACGGAGTTCCCGCGACGCGCGCTGGTCGCCCCGAGAGGGTCCCAGCGACGCGCGCGGGTCGTCCGCGGCGCGAGGCCAAACAATTAGTCGGGCAGTCGAGAGAAGGCGCGGCTCGGGGGAGACGCTCCTCAGGTCAGGCCTCGCGGATGAACTCGGTGAAGCCGAGCTCCCTGGCGAGGGCCGTCGCTTCCCTCCTGCACCGCTTCGTGCGCGCCGCAAACTGCTCCAGCTGCTTCCGCAAGCCCTGCGGCGGCCCTGCCAGGAAGAACTCGATGCGCGGCGCCCGCATGAGCAGGAGGTCCTCGTGGCGCGTGGCGCGCGAGAGCAGCACGTAGAGCTCCAGCCACCAGTCGTCGTCCTCCTTCTTGCCGTTCCCTACCTCGTGGCGGCCGCAATCCAGGATCACGCCTGGGCGACGTCGACCGAGGGAGCAGCGCGCCGGGCAGCCGACGGCCCAGGGCGAGAGTCCACAGGACCGAGAGATGGTCTGGCCGCGGACTGCTCGCGCCCCGGAGGTCTGGCCGCCCCCGGAGCGCCGTTCCCCCGCCCCGTCGCCTTCGCGCATGGTGCGCCCCTGGCACGCCACCGTGGTGATGACCCTGCCGTGCGAGAAATGCGGGGGGTGTGCCGAAATGGGTGGGGGTGACGCATGCGGGCGCGGGCACTGGGGCCTTCGGTGGAGCTCCCTATGGAGCCACGAAACGTGTGAGGGGTGTGCCGAAATGGGTGTGGGGGACGCATGCGGCCGCGGGCACTGGGGCCTTCGGTGGAGCTCCCTATGGAGCCACGAAACGTGTGAGGGGTGTGCCGAAATGGGTGTGGGGGACGCATGCGGCCGCGGGCACTGGGGCCTTCGGTGGAGCTCCCTATGGAGCCACGAAACGTGTGAGGGGTGTGCCGAAATGGGTGTGGGGGACGCATGCGGCCGCGGGCACTGGGGCCTTCGGTGGAGCTCCCTATGGAGCCACGAAACGTGTGAGGGGTGTGCCGAAATGGGTGTGGGGGACGCATGCGGCCGCGGGCACTGGGGCCTTCGGTGGAGCTCCCTATGGAGCCACGAAACGTGTGAGGGGTGTGCCGAAATGGGTGTGGGGGACGCATGCGGCCGCGGGCACTGGGGCCTTCGGTGGAGCTCCCTATGGAGCCACGAAACGTGTGAGGGGTGTGCCGAAATGGGTGTGGGGGACGCATGCGGCCGCGGGCACTGGGGCCTTCGGTGGAGCTCCCTATGGAGCCACGAAACGTGTGAGGGGTGTGCCGAAATGGGTGTGGGGGACGCATGCGGCCGCGGGCACTGGGGCCTTCGGTGGAGCTCCCTATGGAGCCACGAAGCGTGTGAGGGGTGTGCCGAAATGGGTGTGGGGGACGCATGCGGCCGCGGGCACTGGGGCCTTCGGTGGAGCTCCCTATGGAGCCACGAAACGTGTGAGGGGTGTGCCGAAATGGGTGTGGGGGACGCATGCGGCCGCGGGCACTGGGGCCTTCGGTGGAGCTCCCTATGGAGCCACGAAACGTGTGAGGGGTGTGCCGAAATGGGTGTGGGTGACGCATGCGGCCGCGGGCACTGGGGCCTTCGGTGGAGCTCCCTATGGAGCCACGAAACGTGTGAGGGGTGTGCCGAAATGGGTGTGGGTGACGCATGCGGCCGCGGGCACTGGGGCCTTCGGTGGAGCTCCCTATGGAGCCACGAAACGTGTGAGGGGTGTGCCGAAATGGGTGTTGATGATGATGATGATGATGATGATGGGAGGGGGGAGGAGGCAGCGGGAGGAAGGAAGGAAGGAAGGAAGGAAGGAGAACGCGGGGCACCGTCTCTTCAAAACGAGGACCCAACACCACAGGATGGTTGGGAACAATAAACTTTCGGCGCTCCGCGCGGATTTCTTGAATCCACGCTGGGCCCCCCTCCCTGGCACGCGGAACGAGCCAGGGGCGGCGCGGGAGGCACCGCTGGGGGGCCCAGGCGCGGATCCAAGAAATCCGTGCGGACCGCCAACAGTTCATGTCCATGCCGTTTTTTCATCTTCTTCGATAGAAGGCCCCCTCCTCGTCCTCCTTCTCGTCCTCCTCCTCCTCCTCCTCCTGCTCTTCCCTCCTTCTACCTCCTCCTCCTCCTCCTCCTCCTCCTCCTCTTCCGCCTCATCTTCCTCTCTCCTCCTCCTCCCCCTCCCCCTCCTCCTCCTCCTCCTCCCCTCCTCCTCCTCTCCTCCTCCTCCTCCTCCTCCTCCTCCCTGCTCATCCTCCCTCCTCCTCCTCCTCCTCTCCTCTCTCCTCCTCCTCCTCCTCCTCCTCCTCCTCCTCTTCCTCCTCCTCCTCCTTCTTTCCTTCTTCGATCCCCCCTGGGCGAAGGGGCACGAAGCGGGGCTGCCGGCCTGGAGTGGCCTGCGCGACCCGCGGCTCGGGCTCGTCCTGCGGGGCCGCGGGACCTCCGGGCCTCGACGGGAGATCGAGGCCGGGCTTAAATCGGGCATGTCCCCATTCAGGAGGATTTTGTATGTTATATATATAATATCAATAAGAATATCAGCAATAATAAACGTAATAATAATAAAAAATAATAGTAATAATAATGATAATAATAATGATAATAATAGTAATAGGACTACTAAGTTTAATAATAATGATAATAATAAACAATAATTTTAATACTAATAATACAAAACTGTCAAACATAGTAGGACAAAAAAAACGTCCCCAGACCATCTCTTTACTATTTTTGAATGTTCCTCCTGCAGGGGGACAGACCACTTAAGGAGGGCGCGCCGCTGGATCTCCCCAGGGGGGGGGGGGGAACCCGTCCCCCCCCCCCTTTCCCCGGTCCGTCGTCGGGGACCCCCCCCCTTTCGCGGTCCTCCCCCCGCCCCCCGCCCTTTTCCCGGTTCTCTTGTCGGGGAACCCCCCACCCCCCCTTTTCAAAAGAGGGGGGGGTCCGAACCTCCCCCTCCCCCCCATGGGCACGAAATGCACCCCCCCCCCTTTCTCCACGCCGCCCCCTGACTCCAGAACCCGCCACACCCTACCACCCCTAACCCTAATCCTCACCCTAAGCCCAGACCCTAAACCAAACCCCTAACCCGAGTCCCAAGCAGTACTCGACACTCACTACTCACTACTCCCTACCCTCTACTTACTGCTTCCTACTCACAACTCTCTACGCACTACTCTAGACTCACTGCTCACTACTCACTACGCACTACTCACTGCCCACTACTCACTACTCACTACTCCCTACTCACTCCTCAAGAATCAATACTCACTACTCAGAAATCAGTACTCACTACTCTCTACTCGCTACTCCCTACATAGTACTCGCTACTCATTACTCACTACTCGCTAGTCCCTACTCGGTACGGTACTCGATACTCCATACAAACCACTCACCACCCACGACTCACTACTCACAATTCACAGCTAACTACTCCCGGCTCTACTCACTACTCACTAACTCACTACTCACTACGCACTACTCGCTACTCTCTACTCACTACTCACTACCCACTACTCGCTAGTCCTTACTCGCTACTCGCTACTCAATACTCCCTACTCACCACCCACTACTCACTCCTCACTACTTACTAGATCACTACTTACAACTCAACAAACCACACTCACTCGTCACTACTCACTACTGACTACTCATTATTCACCACCCACTACTCACTACTCACCAATCACTACTCACTACTCACTAAGCACTACTCCTACCTACTACCCACTACTCACGACCCACTTCTCGCATCTCCTTACACACTACTCACTACTCCTACTCACTACTCACAATTAACTACTGGCTACTCACCACTCGCTACTCCCTACTCGCTACTCACTACTGCCTACTCCCTACTCACTACCTACTACCCACACTCGCTTCTCATTACTCTCTACTCGCTACGCCCTATTCGCTGCTCGCTTCTGACCAACCACTACGCAGTACCCACTACTCACTACCCACTATTGACTACGCACTACTCACTACTCCCTACTCGCTTTTCACCACTCACTACTTCCTACATACTACTTGTTACCTTCTACTCACTACGCACTACTCACTACACACTACTCAGTGTTCACTACTCACTACTCTCTACTCACTACCCGCGACTTATTACTCACTACTCACCACCGGCTATTCACTATCCAGTACCCCCTACTCCCTACTCAGTACTCACTCCTCATTACTCACTATTCACCACTCATTACTCACTATTTGCTACTCGCCTACTCACTACTCGCTACTCTAGACTCACTACTCATTACTCAGTACTCAGTACTCACTACTACTTACTTCTCACTACTCACAACTCACTACTTACTCACTACTCACTACTCACTACTCACTACTCACTACTCGCTACTCTCTACCCACTACTCACCACTCATTACTCACTACTTACTATTCCCTACTCCATACTCGCTACCCACGTTCTCCGCCGCAAGAAGGAGCAACGGGAGAGGCCCCCTCCCCGGCTCTCTGTCCAGCGCCAAGGGGCGGGGTCGGTCGGGGGGGAGGGGGATTCGGAACCCCCCCTTCCCTTAAGGGGGGGAGGGGGGGGGGTCGAACATCTCACCCCCCCTTTGAAGGGGGGGAGGGGGGGGGTCCGAACCCTGCCCCCCCCCCTTTTCAATTACAGGGTGATCCAGTGGCGCGCTTTCCGACTTAAGGCCAGGCAGGGCTCCTGGGACAAGGAGGGGCCCAGAGGCACACCAAGAAAGGATCGCGACTCCCTACATGTTTTCATATACCTGCTGGATGTTCGTCTTCCCCATCCACTCCCCAAATTTTCCTGGGACCGACGATTCTTTGTGCCAGCCCTGCCTGCCAGACCAGAGGAATAAACAAGGGCAAGAGCATGAACTTCTGGAGGTCCGCCCGGAATGCTAGGATCTGAGCTGGGACCCCACCCTCCCTGCCGCGCGGAGCGTGCCAGGGGCGGTGCCCGAGGCGCCGCCCCTGGGGGTCCGGCGCAGGTCCAGGAAACCAATGAGGACCTCTCAAAACCCGTTGGCTGTTGAAAGGTTTGTATGGCTTTCGTATTGCCGCCTTCTCGGTCTTCAGGGCGTCCACGTGGGCCCAAAAGTCTCAAGAGGCGCTCAAGATCGCACCGAAACGGCCCGAGAGAACCCCAGAGGCGGGGGTGCCGCACCCTGGGGAGGGCCTCCTCCTGTCTTCTCCGGACGACTCGCAGTTGCGCCCTGCAGTGGCCCCGGGGTTGGCGCGGACGGGCGGGGCCCCAGCGGTGGTGAGCCGGAGCTCTCCCGCTGCCCATCCCCCCTCCGCGTTTCCTGACGTCCGCCCGGCACGGGAGGCCGCTGGGGCCCCCGTGGAGGGATCCCTGTTGTTCCCCCCGCCCCAGGTGAGGTCCCGGCTGTAGCTCTGTCCTGTTCTGGGGATTCCCGCTCCTCGGGTGTGGGAGGCAGCCACTGCTATGACTACCTACCAGACCACCCCAACCCAACCCGAAGGCCCGAATTTGACCCGAATTTCGGGTTGGGGGGGGGGTACGGATTCCATGTGTTTTTTCGATGTTCCCCGACCCCCCCCCCCCCACTGGAAATCGAGGATAATTTTGGGCCTTCGGGTTGGGTTGGGGTGGTTTGGTGGGTGGTGACTGCTGGCCTTCCCGTGGTCGAGGTGGGGCGAGGTGGGTCCCGCCAGTGGCGGACCCCCCCCCGCAGTCTCGCGGACCGAGGGGCACGGTGCCGCTGCGGTGCCAGGCCCCCGCGGCAGGTGGTGAGCTGTCCCCCATCCATCCCTGAGCGGGGTGCCGCTAAAGGGGCTGTGCCCGCGGCCTCACCAGATGCTTACCCACGCCACCACCACCACCACCACACACCCCTCCCTCCCTCCCTCCCGCCCTCCTCCTCCTCCTCCTCCTCCTCCTCCTCCTCCTCTCTCCTCCTCTCCTCTTCCTCCTTTCTCTCATCCGTCTTCCTCCTCCTCAGCCTCCCTCTCCTCCTCCTTCCTCCTCCTCCTCCTCCCTCCTCTCCTCGCCCTCCCCGCTTCCTCTCCTTCCGCTCCCTCCTCCTCTTTCCTCCTCCCCCTCCTCCCTCCTCGCCCTCCCTCCCCCCTCTCCCTCCTCCTGCTGGAGGCTGGCTCCTCGGCGGTCCGGGCGCTGTCCGCGAGGGGCTGCCCGCAGGCCTCCTCCTCCCGCGGCGCGGGGTGGGCAGGCTGCGCCCCCCCCCCCCCCCTCCGCCCTTTCTCGCCCGTGCCCCTCCTTGTCCTCCTCCTCCCTTCTCCGCCCCGCCGCCTCCTCCTCTCCCTCCTGCCCCTCCTCCTCCCCCTCCTCCTCCCCTCCCCCTCGCCCTCCTCCCCGTCCTCCTCCTGCTTCGTCTCCTCCTCCGCCTCCTGCCTTCGTCTCCTCCTCCGCCCGCCACCTCCTGCCCCTGCGCCGCGCACATGCGCCCCCAAAGCTTGCAGGGGCGTCACGGATGGGGGGCGGGCCGTCTGCAAAAGGTGGCTCGCGCCGTCGCCCAAGCGCCACGCACATCCGCCCGCCGAGCCTGCCACAGGTTCAGGGCTTCTGATGGCTGGCGCCCCAGAAAATGGTTCCCTGGCGCAATGCAAGACTGTCAAGGCGCAACAGTTACATGCATTCGCGGTGCTGATCCCAGGATTCTGGCACGATTCAGGTCCAGACGCAACGTCAACGTCGACTCGCAACGTGCAAGTGCAAAAGAACGGCTTCTGGCACGGAACCGGATTTTCAGACGGATGTCTTCCAACGGGGCACTTCCCTCAGTGAAAACTAACCTTTTTAGGGACCCGTGAATAGGTATATTGGAGGGACGGTTTATTGCAACATCATGGACAGGTCTTGGGTTTACACTGGTGCTCCTCCTCAGGAGGAGGCGGAGGCGGAGGCGGAGGCCGACGATGAGAAAGATGAGGCGGATGGGGATGCGAGTGAGAAGGAATAGGATTCAGATTCAGAAGCCTGTGGAGACCATATCGAACCTGGGCACTATTAAAATCGAAGAATGGGCTCTGAGCTCGTCGCCCCTCTGACTCCCGCGCGGGCCACCAGCGGGACCCGTGAGCTCGCCGCCCCTCTGGGCCCCGTTCGGCCAAATCGGTGTGCGTGACCGGTCGACGGCCCGTCACACGCAAACCGCCAGCGGGACCTCTGAGCTCGTCGTCCCTCTCTGGGCCTCGCTTGGCACAGTATCAGATCCGAGGAAGAGCATCCCTAATTTTTTGGGGGGGCTCTCCCGAGCCAGGCGCGATAGGACCTCCTTCCCAGCTGTGGTAGGAGGACGGTCCTTCGCTCTGCAAGGGTGCCCAAGATTCTGAGCATCCACTACGCCATGGCAGCCACAGCGTTCACAGTACATCGCACCACGGAACACTTCAATGTGGCCAGCAGCACATCGGGGTTGGGATGTTGTTTGGGCCTGTTTCTGGAGCCAATGCATGGCGGCCGACACCCCTGTCCG